ATATATATATATATATATATATATATATAGTATTACGAGCCAAAACGAGTTGAACATGAATGCTTGTTTATATATCAAGCACAAAAAAATATTCATGTTCAGCTCATTAACTTAGCAAACGAGTCGAACATGAGTCTCTTAACGAGTCCAACACGAGTTGTTCGCGAACAACTAATCATTTTGACAGCCCTATTTGTTACAATTTTATTTAATTGCTGGGAGGCTTGCTTGAACTCAATTCATAAAAGAATTGAGACTTCATTAAATTGGTACTAGCGACATTGGATATATATTAATTTGGATATATATTAATTTTCTAATAATTTTTTTTCTGAAGATATGGTAATAAATGTAATAAAAAACTTTATAATCTTAATTCAATCACTTATGAGTTGGTGTATTGATTGTGGTGATTGGGTGATTTTTAACATTAATGATGGAAAAACATATAAATATTGACCCAAATGAGCCTATTTTAAAGTCATTTCTTTTCTTATTCACTTTATTCACTTTATTCACTAACTTCTTTGCCATGTAATGTCTTCCTTAGCAAATATGGAGTGCTTAGATGAACTTGAACCCACAACTACTCGAGTCAAAAACTTATTTCTTATTTTCTTACAAAAGATTTTTGGAGAAAATTATTCAGAAAATGATACATATCAAAACACATTATTATAGCAATTATCTTGAAAAAAAATAAAGTATGAACTTGTCGAGACAAGGATGATGTCAGATTTGGGACTTTGATTGATTATGCAACTTTTCTTAATCATTCTATATTTAAGATAACAACTCATGATTTCACGAAATGGAGGACTTTTTTTAGAAAGATGTGCATGTTGCGAGGTAAGGCTATCATTGGATTTACTATAAATGAACTGTTAAATACATCTTGAGAGGATAGTACTGAAGTGAAATCTACTCACTAGGTGTTTATTTGTGGTTTATCATCATATTCTTCTTATTTATCTTTACAAAGTTGTTATATGAATGGGTCTTAAAGCAATGATATTCATAAGAATTGTCTTATCATGAATTTATTTATTAAGTGATCAATTTTTAAAATTCGACCCACTTCTGATGTTACTTTTAATAATGAATTCACTAAAAAATTGTTCCAAGCACTTTTAGTAAAAAGGAACTTTGGGGTTCCTAAAGAACTTGGTCATCAAAATTTTTGTGCCCGAGACTGTATAAGCTTGGGAACTTGATAATATGGCTACATAGTCAACTAAAGTTGATGTAGCAGGTGAGAAAATGTCTCAAGCTTTTCTTAAACATAGTCCTTTAATGTGAACTAAATGCGGCAAAGCACTGGCGACTCATGTAAGTATACATTTTATATTAGTAGTACTTAGAATAGTGTTCTAAGTATGGATCCTACAGGGAATGTGCTAAATCCCAATTCAAAAATATTCTGCTTACTATCGTCGTTCCTAGCTTGAACTGTTCAAATTCTCACAGTTCAATAAAGTTTCTATCATAAATATCTTTTAAAAGCAAGACGACCTTAGAAAGCATAAAAAAGTTTTTAAATAGATTCATGGTTCGAAAGATTTTTTACCTTGCATTGGTCTAGTGGTGAATAAAAGTGAGGAAATGATCAAAGCCCGGTGTCAATCAGGAGCTAACTCTTTCTTTCCCTTTTCAGGAAGTCAATGAACTATTGTTTACCGCGGGTTTAGTTCCTTAAATCTGATGATCAGCCCAAGCAAAAAATATATCTCTATTGATTGATTAAACTCAAATGCTATATCTCTATTCCAATGAGTTTATATGGTTAACCCTTTTCGCTCTACTTATTATTCTCTTGGATATCAGAGTTCACGACCATGTGGAATGAAAGTTAAGATTAAAGGTTAAAACAACATATTTAAGAGAGTTTAAATACTAATCATAAGGAAAATCTCATTTTTATCCTACCACTTTTCCAATCCAAAAAAGAAACAAAGGAAATTACTCACTGCCCATCGTAAACTCAACAAAACAAACTTTGATTTAAGAAAATAAATCATACACCAAGTCTTACACAAAATTCCAAGAAATAACTCAAATTGAAGTGTACTTAACGCCTGTTCTATCAAAGCAGAAACGTTGAAATGAAAACAAGCAATGTTTACACTATTTAATTCTCTCGACACTTCATTTCTTCTCTTCAAAACAATTTGTAAAGACTTCCTTAGTCTTCTTCTTCAGAGTTCTACTCTCAAAAATGGCCGAAAAGACCACTCTTACTTTGTTCTCAACATTTTTATGCTTCTCCCAACAAAAAGAAGCGTCCCAAGTGCAAGATCATGAATTTGCAAAAAATAATGCTTAGCCACTAGTTGCACGTCGCCTAGGCGCAAGGCACCAATTCTGGATCTAGGGTATCAAGCACCTAGCCACCGAGGTGTGGCACCTACTCGCTACAGTCATGGTGCCTAGGTGTCAAAAGAGTGCTGCCTACTTGCTATAATAATGGCGCCTACTCTTCGGGTGCTCTATATTCTAGATAAAATTTAGGAGTGGGCTGGCTTGTGAGCATCCATGGGTAGCACCTAGGCGCCTATGCGCCACCATGGAGATTCCCACTTTCGTGTCGCTCTATTTTATATATAATTTAGAACTAGATCTAGAGCGAGGGCGCTTCAAGACCACTATTGACCTCACTTTTGGTTGAGGTCTAGTTTCTTCCTTAGAAGCCTAGGATCTAGCCGTAGGACTTTCTTGTTGAATATCCTAGAGAACTAGTGTTGACACCCTAACCTTTAGAAATTTTAAACTCTTCTATGGTCATCTCGAGGTTCCACATGTTAGTTCTAACCTCTAGCACTTAGTAGATGGAACCAATATGGGAAAGCTCAAGAGGAGTCCTCATAGGACTGTTTGGCCTTAAGGTTAGCCTTGGGTGGTGTGGTCTTGGTCAAGTCTTGCACACACACACTTGCACCTGCACTCACAACCTAAACGCTAACCCAAACTTGCCTAGCTTGATCCCTTACTCTATTGGAAACTCATGTGGATGGTCCCCTAAACTATTAGCCTTGGGCTAGGGTTTGGCTAAGATTAGCACATAGAGGATCCATAATGAGAGTTCCCTTGATCTCATTGATCAATATGGTGAACTCATGATTAACATTCTTAATCAATCCCAATTTTACCAAATTCCCAATTTTGACATTTTTTGGTTAGATCTTTGAAAAGTCCTATCCTTTGAAATTCTTGAAGACAATATTTTCTGATCTAAATCGAGAGTTTTCTTAGGTGACCTCGGTCATTTGAAATGTAATTGACTATAGGGGCTTGCCTCTATAGGGAGCTTAAAGAACCAAGGTAATATAACCTAATCCTCCATATTAGATAGGGGAACTTGTAGGCTTATATAAATGGTTTGCATACCAAATGGATGTCATAATCTCTATAGTTTATTTAATCGAGCCTCACAAATAAGTGATATGTCTATTTCTCGGGATAGAAATGTCACTTGTAGTGTTGTGCTTGTTTATCCAAACTATTATCTATATGAGATAAGTTTGGTCTCGTATTTTCAAAATTACAACATTACTCTTCAAAATCAAAATATAATATTATTTTTCTAAAAATAAAATTTACATGTATATTAAATTAAGTCAAAGTGAACAACCTTTAGCGGCCGACAATTTCTGGAGACTGCGCTGGGGAGTTGGCTCTACTCTCCATTATGATCAGAAAGACTTGTCTTCACACATCGGTAATGTGTCGATGTCCATCATGGACCAGATTATCCTTCTTCCATTGACATGTTTTGCTCATTTCTTTCTTGGGCAAGTACGGTCAACTCTTTTAGATTCCAGGACCATCAGTTTAATCACCTTTAAACTAAGAGATTTAGGAGTCTTTTAGGAATTTATCTTTTGTGTGGGGTCAGACCCCCAATAGGTGTGTTGGTGGACTACTTCAGCCTGGGCGATGTTTGTTGTGAAGTTGGTCCTGCACTGGATCCTAAACTTTGTCGTTTATTTGTATCTTTCGGGTTTGGTTTGTTATTCTACGAATCAAGCCAAGTTGTTATGTCTCTTCACCCTCGTTTAGTTTGTTAATTGAAACTATTTAATGCTATAATCATAAATAAACAATAAATTTGAAAATTAAAATAAGTTAGGACATGCCTAGTCCACAAAATGAACTTTTTCAATTTTAGTGTTCGCATTGAAATTACAAAGTGATGGCTGATACTAATCGTTGGAGCTTTTTCTTTGAATCGGCTACGAATGGAATTCCTAACTCTTACCTTCTCCTGCAACTTGCCGACCAACCATCATGCCCGCAACGTCGCCCCCACGATCAAGTTTGGCATCGGATTTGACAAACTTGAGGTTGTGCTTAGAAAATCCCCATTTGTCATCATGAAGGTTGCTACCCCGGAAGTACAAGAATAGTTTGTTAAGTTCAACTTGAACTACCCCCAAGATTTACCTTCTTGTAAGAAGGCGAAGATCACCGCCTCCCTGACATCCATTCAGTATATCGTTCCTGTGCTTGTTCACTCGA